GTTTACAGTAATCTCCATCACTTAGAGGTGCTTGGTATCAGCTGAGTTGCATTCCTCCTTGTGCTGAAAGCAAAGAAATGAGCACAAGCTACTCCCATCTTGGCCACCCATGACACGTGATATCTAAGATTTATATATACAACAGGTCCATATACCCATCTTAACAGGCAGTAGTGACATTTGTGAAGTGTTGGAGCCATTGTAAGTATGAAATAAAACACAGTCTCATGCTCAGAATAAAAAAAATAGAGGTAACAGCTGGATCATCACTGAGGTTTTACTATTTAAAGGAAAAAAAGATTTTAGCAACCTGAATAGGGGACTATATTATTGATTAGGATAAATTATCAACATGATCAAGAAATTCTGGATCAATCTAGATGATAAATGTCTATTAATGTTTTACCTGATTCCTTACATTGTTTTATATGCATACATTTGACTTTTGTTTAATTTTGTATTGTGTTTTTAACATGTTGGAAGTCACTTTGGGTCCCCATTTTGGGGGAAAAGTGGTATATAAATAAAGATTATTATTATTATTATTATTATTATTATTATTATTATTATTATTATTGAGATTGCATTGTTTCAAATGGTATATAAATAACATTGGCCTATTCCCTCTCCTTCCAAAAACAGAGCTGCAAGTCTTTGTAGTTAACTATTTTCATTGATGTTAACCAAAGTTGGCAAAGTTACTACATTACTTCCTGTCCCTTAAAACCGATTGGGTGAATGTGTGCAAGTCACAATTTCACAGCTTCAGGAGAAAGCAATGGCAAGCCCTCTCTGAACCAATTTTGTCAAAAAGACTTTGTGATGGGGTTGCCTTAAGGCAGTGGTTCTCATTCTGTGGGTCCCCAGATATTTTTGGCCTTCAAATCCCAGAAATCCTAACAGCTGATAAATTGGCTGGAATTTCTAGGAGTTGTAGACCAAAACACCTGGAGACCCACAGGTTGAGAACCACTGCCTCAGGGTCATCAAAAGTTAGAAACACCTTGATGATTTAATACACTTGTTTATTTATTTATTTTATTTATTTAATACACTTGTATACCGCTAATATCTCAGCCTAAGTCGGCGACTCATTGCGGTTTACAATGATGATGATGATGATGATGATAATAGCTTTATTTACACTCCACCACCATCTCCCTGAAGGGAATCAGAGCGGCTGACATGAGGCCAAGCCCAAGTAATTACAATAAGGCAAAATAAAATACATACAATAGATAATAACAATAAATAAATGCAGACAATAGCAAAGTAATACAATAAAATAATGACAATTATGCATAATATAAAATGATAAGAGAAATTAAACATGGTACACAATTGACAGCTCATGACAGTTTTTCAAAAGACATCCATTGCCTTTATGCTTTAATGCAGAGTTTCTCAAACTGTGCTCCTCCAAATGTTTTGGACTTGAGCTCCCAGAATTCCTAACAGCTGGAAAGTTGGCTAGGATTTCTGGGAGCTGAAGTCCAAAACACCTGGAGGAGCACACTCTGAGAAACACTGCTTTAATGTATTCAAGTGACTCATTGTGTGGCTCATTTTTTCTCTGTGTTATTTTCTATTATATGTTTTGGGGAGAAGGTCAGAATTAGTAAGAGAAAGCCATAAAACTGGAAAAGTGCTTGTGTCAGATTTTTTTCTTCAAAGTCCTAAAAAGATTGCCAAGTAAGTTCTAAATGTAGAGTATGTTTAAAAGTAGAAAGCGTTACTTCTTATACCATCACTTAGTACTTCCAAGCTGTGGTTTCAACTGGAATTAAAACTCACAGCAGCTGGATTGGAGATGACTGAAGTCATTTGCCTATGATACCTAGTTTCCTACTGTAGTATATTTATTTCAAAATAGATCATAATTCTGGATGGAATCAGGAAAGTTCCAGTGCTTGGTAAAATTAATGTTTTGGACTGGAGCTCCAAGAATCCTCCAACAAGTATGAACACTTTTCTTAGTTCCAGTGCTTAGGTACCTATTTGGCTGTGTGAGAGGGAAGTAGTCGAAAGAGTAATTTTTCCATGTGCTGGAATGTTCCTCTTTAACAGCACATATTCTCAAATATGTTGGGAATTCTGCTGCAATTATTATAGTTACTGTAACTATTAGATTACGTAAATATTGAATGGCCAAAAAAAGCAGTTCAGCTGCAAGTGTACTCATTAAAAACATTGGCTGGAATTCTGTATCAGCTCCTTAGTTAAGTATAAAGTAAGTATAAGTCAATTTAACTAAGTATACTTTACTAAGTAACTTCTTCTGACTTGACTCCCTACCACAAACTTACAGGAACATCATTTACATGATTGCCATAACCATAACTCCTTCTCCAACCTACTTTGCCTGACATTAGCTGCAGAGGGAGAGAGAAGTCCATTCTGCAGACAATTGGAGCAGGATTGAATGACATTTGCATCAGATTTGAGGTGGTTAGACAAGGTGACGTTACTTAGTTAAATATATTAACTAAGTAGGTTATACATAATTCTGACAATTGTTCATAAAATGCTATTGCATAGCCATCCGAACATATACTTGAAAAATGAGTGAGCAAAGTGCTGCAATGTTAACATGAGAATACTTTAAATTAAATAATACATTTTTATGTTTAGTGAAGGTACCCTGAACTGTAAAGAGGACATTTATAAACTTTGTATATGTTATGCTTACTGCAACAGCCTGAAATGGAGTCATTGGACCTTATCAGGCGGCAGTATTAAGAGGCATTGTTAAGTAAAGAGGAATTGGAAGCTGATGGTGCTTTCCAGTATTCTCTCGTTCATTTTCATTCATTCTTCTCTCATCAGACTTTTAGTGCTTCCCCGTAGGTATCTGCTGTCTTCCTCATTACACATAGGCAATATGTCTCTGCACCCAACATTATTTCTTCATGCAAATCTGCCAGAATCCCTTTCCATGGGATGCAATAGTTCTGCATCTAAACCCATTGGACCCTTGAGACAGGGATGCTGCTTTAAAAATTGCTTTCAGTGGGATCCAATCATTCTGCATCTAAACCCATTAGACCCTTGAAACAAGGATGCTATTTTAAACCACTTCTTTCCATATGTAAAAGTAAAGGTTTCCTCTTGATATTAAGCCTAGTTGTGTCCTAGTCTGGGGGGTGGTGTTCATCTCCATTTCTAAGCCGATGAGCTGGCATTGTCCATAGACACCTCCAAGGTCATGTGACCAGCATGACTGCATGTAGTGCCATTACCTTCCTGCAGAATACAAATACAATTTTGACAGCTTTTTTTCATGAGTTTATAAGGGAGTGATAGAAAAACTAGCAAGTCTTGTTTTAGCAATAAAAAGCTGTTCCACTTCAAGTGTTCCATATTCACACTCTTAACAAAAGCAGGACATTTAGTTCTACTTGGACAAATCAGAACCTTCCGTGGTGATTACAAAGTATCACAATGCAATTCATATCGATTTAGGTAAAGGTAAAGGTTTTCCCCTGACATGAAGTCCAGTCGTGCCCAACTCTGGGGGTGGTGCTCATCTCCATTTCTAACCTAAAGAGCCGGCATCATCCATAGACACTTCCAAGGCCATGTGGCCGGCATGACTGAATGGAGCGCCGTTACCTTCCCGCTGGAGTGGTACCTATTGATGTACTCACATTTGCATGTTTTTAAACTGCTAGGTTGTCAGAAGCTGGGGCTAACAGTGGGAGCTCACCACGCTCCCCAGATTCGCACCACTGATCTTTCAGTCAGCAAGTTTAGCAGCTCAGTGGTTTAACCCACTGCACAACTGGGGGTGCCACTTCTTTCCAAAGAAGGAGCGATCATGCATTTCTATAAACAGGGATGGCAGCTCTCTGCTAAATACAATATTATAACTGGAACAAACCAGCAAAGGACAACTGGCTGTCCTCTGTTCTACAATGCCTCTATTATGCTATATCTGTTATTAATATTTTAAAAAATGTGAAAGGAAGGAGTTATTGTGCACTTCTGTAAAGAGGGGTGACAGACCACTGCTAAGTACTGCCCATCGGACTGCCCCTTTCCACCATGGCAAGCTCCGAAACAGGATGGAAACTGTCACGGACCCCATCACATGTTGTTTTGAGCCAAAAGAACAGGTCCTTAGTGCTTTCTGGCTAATTCCATAATTTTCCCCCATGATTACAGATCTGCCCAATTTCATGGTGGCTCTGTAGTTCTGTGGCAGTGGCGGGCAGGGCGGGGGGGGGGGGGCAGGAGCGATGGCCAGCTGTGACTACCAGTGAATTATGGGTGACCGCCCGTAAAATTGGGGGGGGGGCTGTAAGTATGATAAAGTGGATTGGTTAGGGTTTATCTTGTTTCTTTCCATTGGCTGCCCAGCTGACATAACACTCCTTGTGTGAAAGGGTGCATCTACACTGTAGAATTAATACAGCCCGACACCACTTTTACCATTGTGGCACAATGCTATGGAATCACTGAAGTTGTCATTTTACAAGGTCTCTTGTCTTCCCTGCCAAAAAGTCCTGGTGCCATATCAAACTACAACTTCTAGGATTTTATACCACTGAGTCGTGGCTTCAAACTGAATTAATTCTACAATGCAGATGCATATTTAGTGCGAGCATCCAAAGCTTGGGAGTAAGGAGTTTATTATATATCCAGCTTTTTAACTAAAGAAAAACAATTTAGTTACTTGCAAGGATTATGAAAACAAAGAAGATGGTATCTGATTGTTGTGCGGTCTGGGGTAAGAGTAAGAAATTAATTTTCACAGTGACTTTGCAAGCTTTGAAAGACATCACAATACTTAGCCTAAGATCGTGGAAGTTATTGACATGCTCTTTAGCCATGCCTTTCAGAGGATTTAATCCTTCATTGCTAAATGTACAGACAAACTCATCCAGTGTTGACATCAAATGCACAGCAAGAAATCTTGTTTTCTCTTTAAAGGTACATTGAATGCCAAATGAACCGTAGTGGTATAATTCTTCCCCTTCATTTTTGTCTTGTTTTCACAGTTGAAAAAGACAAAGATTTTTCCCACCAACGGAGACATTACAAAGAATTCCGATTTGACTTGACTCAAATCCCCCATGGAGAGGCAGTGACGGCAGCTGAATTCCGGATCTACAAGGATCGAAGTTACAATCGATTTGAGAACGAAACCATCAAAATTAGCATTTACCAGATTATCAAGGAGTACCCAAACAGGTGCTTTTGTCTTTTAATAAAATTTCAAATCATTTCTTCATTTTCAAAGGCAAAAGAATCTGATCTTTCCCTGAGGGACACACTTTAAATGAGAATATGTGATGGTTAAAAATTAATTCTATACAGCATGATGATTTGCAAACAGAAGCCAGGTATAGTCATAGTCAATAAGAACTGAAATAATTTGATTTGCAAAACACATTTAACTGAACCAAGAAGCCATGGTTTACCTCTACAGCTGGAATACATAGGATGGTTTGAAGTTGAAGATCCCTTCCACGCTGCCATATAATGCAGTTTCAAACTGCATTGTATGGAAGTGTAGATGGTGCCTTTGTGGTATCTAACGTATCCCATAGTTTGCCTTTATGTCTAAACGCAACTCATTTTTAGTGAAAATGTACTATATGTCAGAAAGGCTTCCATGAGAAAGATTAACTTTTCATATTTTTTTTGGTTACTTAAGAAAGATTAGTTAATAAAGAGATGGATATTTGTTTTGTTTTTTCTAAGAAAAATAGAAAATGCAATAGGAACTCTCCAAAGAAACAAACTAAGATGCTTATTATAATCTCAGTCACAATCCATTGTGTGGCAAGGTATAAAGGTTCAAACCATTCCAGTGAAAGGTTGAGAATAATCAGAAAAAGGGTTGAATCAATTTATTTATTTACCATATTTATACTCTACTCTTCTCACCCTGGAGGGGACTCAAGGAGGTTTTACAACAGGCAGCAATTAGATGCCATGCACACATATATTAAAATGAACAATCACAATTACAAACCAAACAGTTAAAACATAAATTATTAAACATCATTTAAAATCATGGCATCCAAATCATAATCCAGGGCCGTTCCATTTATCAACCACATTGATTCATAATCACTTATTGCACTATTCCAAATTAGTTGTCAAAGGCTTGGTCCCAAAGCCATATCTTATGTTTTTCCCCCCCGGAGGTCAGGAGAGAAGGAGCTGACCTAATTTTATTGTAGAAGGAGTTCCATAGATGAGGGGCCACCACCAGTTGCACCTGTATAGGAGGTGGAACCAAGAGCAGGGCCTCCCCAGATGATCTTTACCTCCTAGATGGTTCATGGAGGGAGATATGTTCAGACAGGTCAGCTGGGTCAGAACCATTTAGGGTTTTCCAGGCTAAAGCCAGCACATTGGATTGTGCTCAGTAGCAGACTGGAAGCCAGTGGATCTGGCGTAACAGGGGGGTTGTGTGCTCCCTGTGCCCCATGCTGGTGAGCAATCTGGCTGCCACCCATTGGACCATTTGAAGCTTCCAAACAGTATTCAAAAGCAACCCCATGTAGAGTGTGTTGCAGTAGTCCATTCGGGATATAACCAGAGCATGGACTACTATGGTCAACTCTGACTTTCCAAGGTACGGCACAACTGGCACACAAGTTTTAATTGTGCCACTGCGAAAACCTGAGGTCCCAGCCTCAGCGATGAGTCCAGGAGGACTCTCTAGCTGAGAACCTGTGTCTTCAGGGGGAGGGTAACCCCATCCAACACAGGCTGTAACCCTATGCCCTGTTTGGGCTTATGACTGACCAGGAGGACCTCTATCTTGTCTGGATTCAATTTCCATTTATAAGCTAAACAAGCAAGGTCCCACTATAACATGCCAAACTTTTTTTATTATAATAATAATAATGATAATAGTAGTAGTAGTAGTAGTAGTAGTAGTAGTAGTAAAGTGGTCTTTTGCAGTTGACAGATCATGATTTTGTCAATGTTTATTGTTTCCAAATGCCGGCTGAGATAATTTGGTAATGGGCACACTGGGTGTTGTGCCAAAAGATCTCAGTTGGCATTTGGAAACAAGTATTGACAAAATCACAATCTGTCAACTGCAAAAGGCCACTTTACTTGGATCTGAGTGCATCGTTTGAAAATACATCACACAGTCCTAAACGCTTGGGAAGTGTTTGACTTTTGATTTTGTGATACGAAATCTAGCATATATATCTAGTTTGCTGTGTTATAATGTGTTTTGTGTCAGTAAAATAATAATAATATGGTTGTTGTAGGTTTTTTGGGCTATATGACCATGATCTCGAAGCATTCTCTCCTGACATTTCACCTACATCTATAGCAGGCATCCTAATAATAATAGTAATAATAATAGTAATAATAATAATAATAATAATAATAACTTTATTTTTGTATCCTGCCTCTGTCTCTGGGACTCGTGGCAGCTTACATGGGGGCAAACCCAATCAACATAGTTAAAATAACACATTAAAATTCATAAAAACAGCAACAAGCATAATAAAAAAAACAACGGCATAGCACAATATAAAACAAACATCAACAGACAACCAGTAGCCTGAGATAGCAGTGCAGTTCTGGGAACGGGCAAGGGACCAATACAATCAGTTGTGAGGAAGGGTTGATATATATTTTGTCAGTTAATGTGTTCAAATTGTTCTTCCATCAGAGTGTTGAAAAATGGAAATAATTGGGGGAAGCCATCAAATTTAAGAAATTATCTTTGCCAAAGATTTTATAAGAGAATTTAGTGCAACACCCCATAGATAAAGCAACCAGTTTTTTTCCTTCCTTCCTTCCTTCCTTCCTTCCTTCCTTCCTTCCTTCCTTCCTTCCTTCCTTCCTTCCTTCCTTCCTTCCTTCCTTCCTTCCTTTGTATATGAAATGGGTCACATTGGTTATAATTTTTAAACTGATAAAACATGGATAATAATCTTGAGAAGAGACTTCTGTAGATACAATAAAGCTGTCAAGAGCAGCCTTGGAACCAAAAGAGAGTAACTAAAGGTAATGTAGCAGTAATAGTGATTCAGCACACAGACACAGACAAGTGGCATCCAAGAACATTTTTGGAAGGCTACAACTGCCAGAGAGAAGACAATTATGCTGGGGAAAGTGGAAGGCAAAAGGAAGAGGGGCCGACCAAGGGCAAGATGGATGGATGGCATCCTTGAAGTGACTGGACTGACCTTGAGGGAGCTGAGGGTGGTAACGGCCGACAGGGAGCTCTGGCGTGGGCTGGTCCATGAGGTCACGAAGAGTCGGAGACGACTGAACGAATGAACAACAACACAACTGCCAGAATCCAAAACTAAGATTGTAGCCATTGTTAGTCCAAAAAAGGGCAACATTTCCAGGTTCGAATTCTAGTTCTAACATATTTCAACTGATTCAGTAAATAAACACAATGATCATTAATTCAATCAACCGATATGGTTGTCCACCAACAGTTCATTCTATGCTTCATTTTTATCTGGTAGACCAAAAGTCCTGGTACTTGAAAGAAAATTGGTTTTGCCTGTGAATTTTCCTCTCCGACCCTTGAACTAGACCAGTGGTTCTCAACCTTCCTAATGTCGTGACTCCTTAATACAGTTTCTCATGTTATGGTGCCCCCCCCCAATTGTAACATTTTTGTTGCTACTTCATAACTGTAATTTTGCTACTGTTACGAATTGTAATGTAAATATCTGATATGTAGGATGTATTTTCATTCAATAGACCAAATTTGGCACAAATACCCAATTCGCCCAAATTTGAATACTGATGTGGTTGTGGGGGGGGGGGGGTTATTTTGTCATTTTGGGGTTGTAGTTGTTGTGATTTATAGTTCACCTACAATCAAAGAGCATTCTGAACTCCACCAACCATGGAATTGAACCAAACTTATCACATAGAACTCCCATGACCAACAGAAAATACTGGAAGGGTTTGAGGGGCAGGGGCAATGACATTGGGCTTGGGAGTTGGAGTTCACCTACATTGAGAGAGTACTGTGGACTCAAACAATGGTAGATTTGGACCAAACTTGGCATGAATGCTCAATATGTCCATATGTAAACAGTGGTGGAGTTTGGAGAAAGCAGACCTTGAGATTTGGAAGTTGTAGTTGCTAGGATTTATAGTTCACCAACAATCAGAGAGCATTCTGAACCCCACCAGTGATAGAATTGGGCCAAACTTCCCACATAGAACCTCCATGACCAACAGAAAATACTGTGTTTTCTGATGGTCTTTGGTGCCTTATCAAACTATATCTCCAATAATTCTGTATCCCTTTGTTGATACTATTTGTTGACATTGAGCCATGGTAATTAAAATAGTGTCAAGCTGCATTAATTCTACAGTGGAGATGCTCTCTGAGAGGCAAAAGAAATGCAAGCTAAATTAGATATGTGGGAACATGGTTATTGATAAATCAGATTAAGGTGGGAGAGGGTGGAAAGAAAGCCCATTGTCCATTACTCAAGACAGCACTGTAGGAATGCTAGATACTGACCTGGATTCCATATGCTGGTGTCTCATCTACACCACCATATGATGCATTATATGAGTCACTATATAATGCACACTGTATTAGATGGCAGTGTAGATGGGTCCTTGGATAGGTTTCTCAGTTATTTCTACCTGAAGCTGTTGTTGTTGTTGTTGTTTTTGTTTTTGTTGTTGTTGTTGTGTGCCTTCAAGTTGTTTCTAAGTTATGACAACCTTATCAAGGAGTTTTCTTGGCAAGATTTGTTCAGAGGGAGGTTGCTTTTGACTTCCTTTGAGACTGAAGTAGTGTGGCGTGCCCAAGATCACCTAGGGGTTTCCATGGTTGAGTGGGAATTCCAACCCTGATTCTGAAAGCTGTAGTGGAGTACTGAGATCACTATACCACTCTGGCTCCTACCTGCAGCTACATAGGGAATGTTATGGTGACCAAGGCATTCTCTTTAGAGTAACTCTTATTATGATTGCCAGAACTTCTGTCCACATTAACTGCATTGGATTACATCGATGTTTAGGGTGATATAAACCAATTCAATGCAGTTCATCTGTTTTCTGAAACTACATTATATGGCAGTGTAGATCAATTCTGAACCCCCCACTGATGCATAGCATGGGACCTTACTTTTAAAAAGCTATTTATTCCATGTTGCTTAAAAATATTTATCAGTGTTGCACTCTCACCCATCCTTCATGTTTGGTATAGCACATCATTTTCTACT